TTCTTTTGTTTCTTGAATTGCATCATCAAAATACAACCCAACAGGTAATGGACACCTGTCCAACTCCTCTTGGATATCTACATCTCACCCAACAGGTAATGGACACTTGTCCAATTCTTCTTGGGTTTCTTGAATTGTTTCATCAGAATACCACCCAACAGGTAATGGACATCTGTCCAACTCCTCTTGGATATCTACATCCCACCCAACAGGCAATGGACAATTGTCTAATTCTTGGGAATCTCCTCATAAGAATACTACCCAATATGTAAAGGACACCTGTCCAATTCTTCTTGGATATCTTCATCCCTTCAATAGTATATAAATTAAAAGTTATTGGACATTCTTCTTGGGTTACTCAAATTTTTTTTCATAAGAAAGAAAACCCAATAGGTATTGGACATTGGTTCAACTCCTCTTGGATATTACATCCCAACACTAGAATAAAACCCAACAGGTAATGTTTACTTGTCCAATTCTTCTTGGGTACTCTTCATTAAGATAGTCAAATTGTAAAATTAGACTGCAAACCCGGACGGACGGACAGACGGACGGACGGACGGAATTAACGATTACTATATACCCTCCCGCTTTTCAAGCGGGGGGTATAATAATAATTGGTTTACGTGCTATTTCCGTTTAACCATCTTCTCAAGCCCTTAGCTAGCGAATATGGTGGTTATCTTGTTTTTTAACTTTTATGATTTTAATACTTTGGAAATCTTGTGTTTTCGTTTTGCTCTTTTTTTAAAAAATAGGATTTTCGAGTTTGAGTAATTTTTTTTTCTTTTTTTTTCTTCTTTTTTTTTTTGCAAGTGAAAAAAAATTCTCTGCCCCCCCCCCCACACTTTCAAAGACGATGCTACGTGTGCCTGCTTTGCATCAATTTTGTTTAAAAGTCGACTATTGTTGTCTGTCCTAAATATATATTATGCTCTGTGTGCGTAAGATATGTAGCCTTCAATATTGTCACTATTTTTCGTGTATTACATGTAAAAACTGTGTACATACATGTATCAAATGTTCAGGAAATGAGATAAATTAAGGAAGTGCAGCGAACTCTTTAAATGACAATATAATAAATGATGATTTAACTACAAACATATTCATTTCTAATTAAGAATTTTTTTTTTTGAGCATGCTGTTTTTTCGTTATTAAAGAACACTTGTCTATTCTTTGTCAAAATCTCTATTTTTTAAGTTTGTATGCCGTAGGACCATATAATAACTTATTTAAGGATATTAAAATCCGTTTCCTCCATGACTACCATAGTATATATTTTACTACAAAAAATTCAGTTTTACTCAGATATGATAGATTAACACTTTGTGTTGGTGTTCAACTTAATCTGCCCCTTATTTTCATTTAAAAGGTGTTGCATGTATCCACGGTTATTCCACTCAATCATTATTTTATAAATATATAACAAAAAGTTCTCATTTCTTTGAATTACAGATAAATTAAAAAAAACAATCCATTTTTCAGAACTTCTTAAAAAATTCAGAGAAACATTGTCCTGAAATTTTAAAATTTTGAAGAATGGTCTACATTGTTGGAATTTTATTCCATAAACGTTTATGTGTTATTTTAATGCAAAACGTCAACGTCACGGCGTTGAAGCACATAACGTCAACGTAATGACGTGACAGCATTGATTAAGAAAACAATGCTAAATTGAAACGGCTGTAAAAAGAAAACCAGAAAAGATATTCTTAAAAATTAAAATGTTTTACAATATACAAATCTTCGAGTATAATTTCAGCAAGTTTCACTTATTTCGATGACTAGGCGGATTTTTGCACTTCGTGAACTTAGCTCTTTGAAGTTTCAATAAATTTTTAGATAAAATAAGATCTTTAATTAATATGTTTTGAGAAAATATGTCTATGCGCGTTTAAGGTCATATGCAACGTAGTTTGAACTTTTTTGGATTCTTCCCTGGAGTTGAAGAGTTCCACTAAATGAAGGACCTGTGTGCAATATTTTTAAAGTCTATATATGGATTTGTACACCTCTTCTAAAAAAAATTTCGATGAAAAAAAAATCTGGAATTCATGTTTTATAATTTTTATACATTTTTATTTGAATAATGAAAAAATTTTCAAAATTCGATATCTTTTCAAAACCCCTGGTAACACATGCTGATTTTTTGTTTAAAAACATGTAATGATATTATAAGTTTAAATTCAGAATATCTTGGAAAATTATCAGTAGGTAAGGTACGTTGTGTATGTCCTTAAGAAGATCGATGTCCATCGTTCATCGTTCACACGCATATAGTTATCAGGATGGGGGGTCTATTCACTTCTTTCTCATCCCTCATCCAGTCCTGTAGCTTTCGCTGAATATTCAGCGAAAGCTACAGGATTGAGACTCGCAGTATCTCTTTTTCGCGATTCAAAACAGCTTACCGCGAGAAAAATCGTGCTTTCCGATGACAAATTACATGAATTATACAGCTTTTTTCCGCTATTGTACTCTTTGCTTTCTCGTGACATATTTTAGCCTTTACCTCTTTAGATCCGTTAGCAATCTAAAACCTGTCTTTTCTTTGCTTATCATCATGTTCTGTCTACTATATTCACATTATACTGAGATAGTCATAATTAGTGAAATTTATCGCCGATTATAAGTGCGCAGGTAACTGAATATAATAATTTCACTCGATTATCAATTTTGAATGAAAAAAAAATTATCTTGGGTATGACTTCTTTTGACATTATTACACCTTTGGAATAATTGTAACAGATTAAATTTCATAAAATATTTCTTATATGTCTCTGTTAGGAGTAAATTAATTATTTCATAATTGGTTGGACAAGAAACCATTCCGCAATCCTAGTACCGTAATTATGTCAAGTCTATAACTTTTTTTTAAATGTTGAAGAAACATGGTATAATTATGAAAGGACGAAAATAATTTGGGAATGATTTTTTAGTTATTATTCAAATATAGCATTGAATCTCTCTCTTTACACCCTCCCCTTACATTACGTTGACTGACATAGCCCTGTTGCTGTTTACCATGTTTAGGGCTATCGTTGAAGTTCAGGCGTGCGTAATAGTGTATATACACTGTTTAGCCCTGTTGATGTTTACCATGTTTAGGGCTATCGTTGAAGTTCAGGCGTGCGTAACAGTGTATATACACTGTTAGTACTTCTTTAGTAATCCCAGCTAGCCCATTCGGCGCTACTCCCCAGGCTCATATTTCCCCTATCTACCGACTTTGGTATAGACTATGTACTAATAAGTAATTATCTTACTCGTTCAAGTTCATTTATATTCACTCAAAATCATTTCAAATACATGGTACATGATGAGGATAATGAAAAACTATATATTTACATCAATGCAGGTCAGAGGTTCAAGAATATATGAAGTACATAATCAGAATATGAAAAGGGAGAGAAAGAAAAAAAAAGAAAAACACATATGAAACATGTAATTATGAAGTAAGCGCGGGGCAAAATCATGGAAGATAGACTAAATCATGTATTTTCAATATAAAAGTTCCTCACTGTGAACAATGATCCTTAATAATGACTATATGTGTTAATTTTGTAATTATGTATTTTGTCCTTTAATTAATTTTTTTACGTCGATGAAAAAGTAAAAGAGTGATGATAATATATTCATATTTTCGTTATTTTTCACCTTTCCATTAGGAATAAAGACAGACGTAAGAGGAAATTCGATTTAATTCAAGTACTAATTATAGCATAGTGTATATTGTTTCCATATATGTACTGGTATTTACGAAGATAACACATGCGAAAAGGGAATCTTTTGTAATTCAAGCCGTTGGTGATAATTTCTTATGTGTTATACATGTATTCCATTTTATCATTGGACTTTCAATTACGGCAAATCACTCACCAAAATTCAACAGATATCTTGGACGACATATCTCACACAAGAACCATTCAGCTATATGAAGATTAAAAACATGTATTTAGCCGCAGAACTGTAGCGTTATGGTTTAATATCTTAAGATTTGACATAACGCTACAGACCCTGTAATGCAAAAAAAAAAACGTGTAATAAAAGTATTTTTCGCACTGTTGGGGAGAATTTCTCAACTTTCCAAAATTTGTAAATCACCAACCTGTCCATGCATAATGATTCTAGACACGTTTTTAATAAATATGTATATTTCAGACGCCTCCAAACCCTTTATAACCGTTTCTACAAGCAAAAAACTCGTTTGTGCTAGAATTTCTTTAATCTCTCAGACAATTCAAAATCAAGCCAGTTTATCGCGCACCTGTACGTAGACTTTCACAGAGGCGACAATAAAGGGTTGAGAAGTGTATAAAATATATAGATAAAAGTAAGGGTCGTTTAAGAGAACACTGTACCAATTGTTATTAATTATAACATGTTAATCAGTTAATGGTTGCTCTTTTTGAAAATATAAGGCTTAATTTTTAATTAAAATGTAATATTACAAAACATCCCAGAGGTATGTATAATGTATGCTTCTGATCATCTTCCTCCAACTTTAAAACATATATAACCAAACTAATATATACATTTGATATTGCATTAAATCGGAGGTTTATATATTTGACTTATCTAGTTACTTGCGTATAAATATGAAAAATCAGCAGTAATGCATTTCCGTAAACGAGGATCTACAATACAGGTCGGATTACAAATATCTTGGTGTTATATTCCATGAAAAGCTTACTTTCCAAAATAATGCCGATACGTTGTCAAAAGCAGGAGGACGTGCTTTCGGAGGGATGGTTTCCAAAATTCCTCAAAATAAAGATATAGGGATTTCAACTTTCGAAAAAACTTTCTGAATTATGTAGCACCAGTTTTGGACTATTGTAGTGAAATATGGGGTCTTCGAAACTATCACTGCATTGAGATGGTACAGAATCGCGCACTTTGTTACTACTTGGGGATTCACAGATTTACACCGATACCAGAATTACATGGAGAATTCAGTTGGAAGCTGCCTTTCCATAGACACTGCACTAACGTAGTCTGGTCCCCTTCCCACAATTCCGTTCGCGCACTCTCTACATTGAGGTCAGGCATCGGTTGATTCACTGTTAGACGTTGCGCAATTTCAAAATGGCGGACAAAGTAAGTAACCATCTCGAGAAATAATTGCTCATACCTATTTGTTTTACATCATGACAACTTATTTCATCAATGCTGACTGTTAACCAATGTTGTTTTCTATTTATTTTTTTATTCATTTGATTTATTTTGCGTAAATTTACACTGTAATCACTGGATTAAAAAATGTTTACATTTTTAGAACGTGGAGGTAGTCAAAATTGACCCCCAATATTTCCTTTGTCGTGGACCGACATCAAAATTTTATTGTCTAGTCTAATGTATATATGAATGATCTATGTTAGGATATACAATGTTTTATATGTCGCTCCTTATTTAATACAGTAAAAGCACCCCAGATTTTTTATCATAATTCTATCAACAATTAGCATGTGCTCTGGCCTACTATTGCATATATTTGACATAAAACAAAGGTTTAACGCTTCTATATCGTTTGCATTTTGCTGTCCATGCAATCATCATATAAGTTGAAAAGGGGGAGGGATTAAACCCCTGTGTATTATTTTGTTTTATTATGATTCCCCTAGCTGGTACCGTAATTTCCTTCCACTTTATCCAGCATAATATTTACATGATAGCATGAATCTAACATGTAATTTTCATGAAGGCTTGTGGAAGTGAATCCCACCACTATACAGATGTTTAGCAGTTAAAGGTGGTGCTAGTTTGGTAGGTCACCACAATCTATTAATATCCTTGCATACATAATAATTTTTCATACAACTGTAATGCCAACTTGCCAAGGCAATACATTTTGAAAAATGTACCAATCCTTTTTATATTGTAACAGGTTCATTATAGCTTTCAGATAATCATTAATATCTCTATTTTGTATGGGTTTTTTTAGGCTTTTCCATCGTTCATTGCATTTCATAAAATTTACCAGGATACTGAAAACATTTAATCCCCTGTATTAAAGACATGATGGTCAGCCAAAAGAGAGCATGGAAGCCCAACAGGAACAACCCCTCTACAGCTTACAGTTTAAACTTGAAGAGTAATTCGTTTAAATTAATCTTGCACACCGTATAATGTTTGTCCTTTTCTCCAAGTCATTGCGTGGTTACAATCTTATTGTAAGTACAAATGAACAGACAACAATGATATTACCGTGAAACAGATTTATCAGTTCAAATGATATTAGCTACAAGGAGAGTAAGTCAAATTAATTATAAATTAATTATTTTACAGATTTACAAAAGGAATAATATGCAAATTAATATGGTGTATATCAGGACTCAAAAAGCAAGTCAAAGTTCATACAGTTAAACTTGTTAAATACAAATATGCGATGATGAATATTGTGAATTCACACAATAGGGAAGTTATCTTGTATTCTCAGCAATATAAATTAAGCAAATTCCTTATATATAATGAATAAAATGGATGTAAGGAATTTTAAAAGGATATAGGATGTAATTTCTGTAAAACTGAGTTTTACTGTATTAGGTAATGCTCTTCGCTTTATGTTCAGTTTACTATATTCTGTTTATAGGTCTGAAGTGTACCAGTTTCTCTTTGACCTGTGCCAACTCTGGTAACCCCGCTTTTGTCAAGGACACGTGTACTTGTTGCTGTCCCGAGGGTCTGGATCTCTATACCGGATGTCCGACCCATTTTGATGGGGGGTATTTAACTTAGTACATATACAACTCTCTGTTATCCTTGGGCTTTCAATAAGGTGTGGTGTTCTGAATGTTACATATTAAGCATCTGAAATTTACAAAGCTTTCATTCACTGTTGTAATATATATGGGAAAAAATTTGGGAGAATGTCAACGAGTGTAATAAATACTCATTAACAGCATTTCGCACAGCAAAGAGGTACGACTTAGGTCATTTCATCGTCGTCAACAAAAATTTAAAGTTCTGATTTATTAATTTCTTAACAAATGAGAATCTATTTGCCATTTGGGATACTTTAACTACGTACATGTAGTGTCGAGAATGCCACACTTTTCTGAAAGTCCAGTGATGATAGAAAATTGTACAAACTTTAAAATTAAAAAATGTTCTTTTATTTTCAAAAATTCCCTTATTATTTTACATCAAATTGAATCTGCATACTTGGCATAAAAGTTTGGAGTGCCAAAAGCTCCATCATGACTATTTTATGTTATTCCTCCAAGACACGGTCAAGGTCAAATAAGTCCTTACTTCAGCCTAGCCAAACGGAGGCAAATGTAACAAAAATACATGTATATCTTATAGAGATTAAAGAATAAGATGAATTAATTTCAGAAAAGCTTTTGGTACCTAATATTTATTTCTTCAGATCGAATGATTTCAACAAAATGGCCATCTGACACCTTTACCAGATTAAGTACCTGGATACACGTAACTGGCTGTCCCAGTGGGTTTTATGAAGGCAGTTTTACACATCATATTAAAGACACCAGGATGGACCACACAAGTTCCACATTTAATGCTGACATCATTTCAAAGCCCACCTTTACATTTTACAAATTTTGTACTAAGAAGAAAACGGAAGAAAATACAATTTCGCCAAGCTGGCCTGCAGGAAAATATTGTATCTACCGGCAACCGCTAAGGAGGGGTTTTTCCCATTGGTAAATAATGCAGAAATAGATTTACCGCTATTTCTAATTATAATTAAATTTTCAAGCAAATGTAAACAAACAATTGTAACCATTACACAATCAAATTAAATCAAAAGCTGTGGATTCAATTTTTTTATTCACAAAATACTTAAAATTTGCTGTCACAGTGGTGCATATCAATAAAAAAAAGAAGATAAAACCATTTTTTTTAGGAATACCAGAAATATGATCACTATAAATACTTTGTAACATTTATATCTTAGGCTTCAGTGGTGGATATATACAGTATGATGAAACCATGAATCCATAGCATTCAGATATTCGCCGCATTCTTCCTGAAGGTGACTTCACGGCCGACAGAGGTTCTATTTCTGTTGTCCCAGTGACTGATCTACATCATCTGGTTATCCTACCATCAAAAGAGCCGTTTATCTTATTTCTGGACACCTCTGCTTGACAGTAAGTCGCAGGTTCTAATTTTCGCAAGAGTTTTAATTTCATAAAATAATTAAAAATGAAAAAAAAAGGGTAAATAATGACATGTTTTTTTTGATATTAGCCTTTTTATCAAGTCTGTTGTTTTAGTTTATAAAAATTGTCTTTGTATTTTAAGGAATGCAAAGTTTTGATGACAATGCAGAGTCAAGATATTGTGACAAAGACATGCCAGCTTGAAGAAGACCATCCAGTGATCATGGTGTTCCACTCAATTTTTCAGAATTATGTGTCAGATTGAAATTCATCTTATGGTACACAAAGCAATCAGGATATTCTTCTGGATCTAGTAAGTGTTTGTAAATAGGAATGAAAAAGATTTTACTCTTCCCTTGTATACTTCAGATTGGAACCTGAAAATGAGAAATGACCATGTAAATGCATTTTTTTAAATTGGTAAACAGTTCATGTTACTTGTACATGTAATATGATAAGCATGATCTGAATTTTATTATACCTTGAAATTTTTCTTTACATACTGACAGACTTTCTTAAAGTATTTTCATACACTGAAATCTGTATGTCAGATTTAAAAAATGTTGAATCAATATTTTTTTTCAGGTCCAAAGTATTGACAGAACCAAAGAATACCTGATAGTCTGCAAATGGAGTGATCATTCTGATTCATTGGATGAACCAGGCAACACTGATTATCTCAAGAAATTTTAGGCTAGAGACTCCATCTTCATTCATAAATGATTCATGTTGACATTTTCTCACGGGCTTTTGTTTCATATCTTCTTTTCACATGCAGCATCAGTTATCCTGTAGTGTCAAAGAGTTTTATATTCAAAGTAATTGATTCTGAGACTTATTTAAAATCTGTTATTAAACAAGCTGTAATAAAATCATGATAGCAAAAAGCACAGTATTATTTTACTTTGCATAGCAGAAGTCTTAATTCATGGAAAAATAATGAGGATTTACTTTGTCTATTTTAGACAGGTAGAGCTCTATTTTTCTATTAGCTGCAGAACTGTAGCTCTCTGAAAAAAAATATTGGGGGCAAACCTGAGAGCTACAGTGCCACCCATTGAAAAAAAAACTGTATATATATTGCGCACAAGAAATGTTTCCTGATTTATTTCTCCATGTTTTTAAACCGTCATCTCAAAATATTACTAACCATGTGTCCCTAACATATTCTTTCACTGTTTTCACAACAAAACATTCCTTATAATTGATGTTAGTAGCCCTTCTGGACCTGAAATTGACATCATCGAAAATTTCGTCTATTTATACTACCATTTTGGTTTGCAAAATATTTCGGTCTTGCAATGCTTCATGCAGTCGTAAACTACGAGAGTACTTGATACTAAGAGAAGTAAGGAAGAATTAAAACAGAAGCAAGCACAAATTTTGTGCACAATAAATATACAGTTCTTTCAGTGGGTGGCACTGTAGCTCTCAGGTCTGTCAAAATATTTTTTTGGAGAGCTACAGTTCTGCAGTTATTCTTCTATGGAATCATCATTGTTTGAGGAAGGAGGACTAACATTTTTGGATTGAACATCAAGTGAATCAGCTACATTTTTATATCCACAAATGCTTATTTGGATATTTTATAAGTCCACAGATTCATTTAATTATTATTTGGTTAACCTTTATAAATTATGTCCTGTCCACAAAACAAATTTATATATTTATGTCTGTCCACAAAAACTGACCTCCACAGTCACATCAAAATAATTCCACAGCATTATACAATTTAAAAAAAAGATATAAAAATATCTAAGACAAATATAAATGTATGTGTATTAGGGAATCGTCAATAATTTGTAAAATATTTAGAAAAAAATTTCTTGACTAAAAATCAAACTCAAGATTATAACATGAAAAAATTTGTTAGGTGTAACACCTTCAGAAGACAGTTTCTGACTGGATGCTTTGGATAACAGTTTGAGATTGTGAGTGTGAATTGTTGTGATGTGTGTAACAAGCAAAATGCAAACAATACAGAAGCGTTAAACCTTTGTTTTATGTCAAATATATGCAATAGTTGGCCAGAGCACATGCTAATTGTTGATAGAATTATGATAAAAAATCTGGGGTGCTTTTACTGTATTAAATAAGGAGCGACATATAAAACATTGTATATCCTAACATAGATCATTCATATATACATTAGACTAGACAATAAAATTTTGATGTCGGTCCACGACAAAGGAAATATTGGGGGTCAATTTTGACTACCTCCACGTTCTAAAAATGTAAACATTTTTTAATCCAGTGATAACAGTGTAAATTTACGTAAAATAAATCAAATGAATAAAAAAATAAATAGAAAACAACATTGGTTAACAGTCAGCATTGATGAAATAAGTTGTCATGATGTAAAACAAATAGGTATGAGCAATTATTTCTCGAGATGGTTACTTACTTTGTCCGCCATTTTGAAATTGCGCAACGTCTTACAGTGAATCAACCGATGCCTGACCTCAATGTAGAGAGTGCGCGAACGGAATTGTGGGAAGGGGACCAGACTATGCACTAACGCTGTAACCTTTCTTTTAACAAAGTTTCCTAGGCAGACGTCAAAATATTTAAACCTTTCATACATGCACAGGCAATCTCTGTTGTATAAAAAATGCCATGCGTAATATTTGTGTATATATTTCATATATTTTGTTAAAAGTGACATATAGGTCCGATGGTCCATCTTTTTGAGCGAGGGTGTCTTAATTATATATTTGTCTACATTTTAAATGTCTAAGTCTACAATTTATTTCACAATGAAATGGAAATATAAGGAATCACTGTCTAGTTTGAAGAGTATATGCCAGGGACATCAACAAAAGTGGGAAACATGGGATAATTTAATATATATTAATGTACATGTATACTGAATGTGAATTTTTTTGTGTTCTTTTCACCCGAGTTGGATTTCACGGAAATTTAATCAAAATTCTTGGTTTTATCTTATTTTCATAATCTCAAATTATATTTGATTAATATCAAAGCAACTAGAGTTTGGAGTTAAGTATACTCATCCCCTTCTGCTAACTTTCGAGAAACAATATCTACACGCCCCAGATTTATATTTAGATATTCCACCCCCATCACTTATTGCTTTTTACTTTTGTAACGTGAAGCGGTCACCCATCCAAGGGTTAAACAGGCTCGCCGTTGCTTAACTTGCCTGAAATAGAGGGAGACTCTACCGCATCACCAGAAAAGCTAGCTCACTAGTGAGGCATTATAAGTTCCCTAAATACTGTCCGCTACACTTTTGAACAAACTGACATTTAAAATAAAATATGTCCAGAGTTTAAAATCTATGAAAAAAAAAATAAACAGATTTAATTGTTGATTTCAATTTCAAAAACAAGCAAAACATGCTTGCGATCTTTTGTATGCTTCCTCAGTTGAGGTAGAAATGATATCTATTTATATTATTAGAAACCATAATTTTAAAATCTGAAATTAACATTTTGAAAGTACATGTATAAGTGCTCGAAGACGGGACTGGACGACTATTATTATGCAGTATAAATAAGAAATGGCAGGTGTCAGTATTTATGCGTGGATCCGAATCCTGTAATAATTTATATACGTACACATGTGCGTATATGTATACCCCTCGGAAAACAGCCCTGAGGGTGAATCTTACAATAGATTTTCTATCCTCTGCATGTGTATAGAGTGGTTCGAACATTCTCTGTGCGCCGAAGTAAACAATGGTTGAATATATGTGCCCCTCTATCATACCTAATATATATGCGATTTCCATGCATTAGCAATATGGGATTCAAATTATTTATATAGAATAAAATGTATAAAATTTATTCTATCGAATAGCAATGTAGCATGTTTTTATACCATCTGGCACAACACAAAACATTTGAAAATTGATAGTTAAATCTTTCAATTAAAAAAAAAAATCATGGAAATAAAAAATAAATAAACTGATGTTTCAAGCACGTGGCATCGTTTTTCAAACGGGGAGTTAGACAATTGATTTTTATTTTTTACTTACGTGCACTGGAAAAGTTGACAAGCAAAAAAAAAAAAAAAAAACCACAAAAAAAAAAAAATTGCCTAAACTCGAAAATCCTATTGGGGGGGGGGGGTGTTAGAGGCCACTTTTTCAGATGCCAACTTCTTTCTGTACCATTTTTTTTTTTTTTTGCATACAATTCTACATTTCCCTTATATTACTTTACCGTAGTATTAACCGGGGGGGAGGGGGGGGGGGGTAACTATACTTCAATGAACATTTTCAATAGAAAAAGTAACATATGCTTGTAACGGTAAATTAATCATGAGAAAAAAAATATTAAAATGAAAATAGACCAGATTGAGCAGTTAATATACATTTGATATAAGAAAATTTAAAAATTCCAACAACAAAAATAAATAAATCTACTGCTTTTGGGTTATCATCTATTCGGACTGAACACTATGTCAAAAGTCAATTCGGCCTTTTAGTGAACACTTGGTCAAAGTCAAATGAGCGCTTTACAAGAAGACCACCTGTCTGGATGTCATGGAAGTAAGAAGTTAACTTTATTTTAACAAGGGTTAATTCACGCAAGTTTTTAAATCAGTTTGATTGATTTAGCGTGTGTGAATTACTCCATTTACATCATCCCCATGTCCATTGGAATTCTGCTGTCAGTCAGTGTCTGAAGAAAGTTTGTGTACGAAACTGATGAGTGATGTAAGTATTACTAGCCTATTACATATTTTCTTTAGAGAAGTGGACAGGCTTTCGCCTACATCCAGTCCACTTCTCTAAAGAGAATAGCCTATTACACTGTATTAACATGCTATGAATTTAATTGGGGGTTATTTCTGGCAAAATGGAATCAGGGTGCTGTATCATACAGTGTATGTGGTAGATATTACCACATAGAGACTGGAGATTTTTGGGGTGTATACATGGTCAAAAATGAAATTTTTATCACGTTTATTAGTTTACTGTCTTACCCAAGGGAGGAGGAATATGTTTTGGCATGGAATATTTTCCCCACAAGTTGCAACTTTGTCAACTGAGATATATCAGTTAGATCATAATGACACATTGTGCCTGTCTAAGGTTAATCAAGTTCAAGTTCATTGTATATTTATGAATTTAATAAAAGTCAGTCATTGGGAATAAATTCAAAAAAATTAAGCCCCAAATGGGGGAGGGGGGTGTACTTTTATGGGGTACTCACAATGGTGGATCTGTTCAACTGCTGCAGTGGTATGAATGTGAAATCTCTATTTTTCTTTTTTTAAAAAACTGTATGAACCAAAAATTATCACATCAAAAACAAAGAACCAATCATACGATATGTATGGAAATACCTTATTATGGAATCTTAATTTATTTTTCTGTATCATGTGAATAATTCATACCTGGTGAGATGTTATAATAGTATTTGGATTAAATGATCAGGAATTTTGGTGCTCTCTGATTGGTATAGACACCATTTCCTGAGACGTACCTCGATCAGAGTGACTTCACCTCATATGTCTACATTCTGGGGGGGGGGGTTTATTCGGGTTTCTCCTCTTGATCAACCATAGATGTGTTTACAGTTTTTTGACCAATCAGATTGCGTGTTTTTAAGCATGTGTTGGTGTGAATGTAAACATGTCAGACGCCAGTACCAAGGAGATTAAACACTTTTGATAATA